AACCGGCCACCCGAGTGAGATCTCTAAAAGTAGCGGTACGCGACATAATCATGAAATTGAGATTGCTCTTAAGCTTGGCTATTTTCTTGGGAGGAACTCGAAACTGCTGCATTCCAATCGTGTCGATAACGAAGCCTAACCACTGCCCACTTACATAGGCTCCAAATTCGATTTCTTCTTGTTCAATTTTAAGCCACTCAATTTGCACCAAACAAGCCACAATCGCAGAAATCCTCTGCGGAAGCCCCGAGATAGCGTCGTCCAAATAAACAAAACAACAATGGCCCATCGAACGCAAATGCTTAACTAAAGGCCTTCGCAACGTCGTAAAACAAAAACAAGCAGAGCTTAAACCAAATGGAAGGACCTTGAACACGAAAAAACGAACCCTACCACTACAGGGCCAGGAAAACCCCAAGAATCTCTGTTGCCGCTAAAAATATCCACGTAATGGTACCCTGACTCAAGATCCCAGTTGTAAAATCAGAAGTTCTGCTAAAAAAAATTGGGACTACTATGCAAATCCCCGTACCAGTTGAACGAATGCTTTAAAAGGCAAGGGTTTACATGCCGGAGGTCAATGACAAGCCTTAATTTTTTACCCTCAGCTACAGACAATGGATTCACGCAGTTAAGCAGCTCAAAATGCTCCTCAATGCAGTCAGCAACCAATGGCTTGGAAAGAGCTTCCTCAACAAAGCTGGGACGAAGCTTTGCTTATTCCTTAAAAAAACATGGATCAGGAACTCTAATGGAGGGTAACTTCTGACCTTTAGATATCACATCAAGCACAAACTGGGGGGGGCACTAATGGTAGACTCCCAATAACTAACAGCCCCACTAATCAAATAATCAATAATGAACGGGTACTCATCAGTTTCCACATCAATGTCAGAAACAGTGTCCTTAGATAGTCATCCCCGGCTAGGCGGACGGTCTGAAGATGAAAGAGCTGGACACAGACTTAGGACAATTACGCATTAGATGGCCAAAATCCCGGCGCTGAAAAAGAAAAGAAAAGAATCATCAGCGAAAGCAAAAAAAGTAAACTAAATCAGTGCTGATAACACGCCGAGGGAAAAAACTAAGAACAAACCACTCCTTAAATTTCGACTAAACAGAACACCCAAGAGACTACATACCATAACTAAACAACACCCGTCCCGTTAAGACAGCTACAAATGAACGGATCCTAAAACGTACAGAATACAAATATATATATGCTAAACTTCAGTGGAGCCTTGAAAATGATGTCTACATGCACACTTTTCCCACGACTGCCCCTCGAGAATATTACCTAACAACAAAACGTACTGTGACATAGGAGACATCGCTGTTTACAAACATTCTGTTGGGGACTCAGATTTTTTCTTTGTCCCACGCTTCTGGCATGCTGATTATTTCATTTTCCCATTTGTTTCCACGAGCTTAAAATTTATCATCTTTCATTCATTTTTTGGTTAGTTCAAATGTGTAACGAGTGAAACAAAACAATCTTTTGGTTCAAGAACCAATGCGCTTTTAGTTGGCACATTAGCATCATTAGGTGAAGTCAGTGTGAGTATCGCTGTATAATTTAACAAGTTTCAGTGATAACTTTTTGTTTGTATTATATGGATTATGGATTATACCCCACATGACCAGCTGTAAGGTTGATTTTTACTCAGCCCAAACTCGGCAATGTGCATTCAAAGCTTTTATAAATTTCCTCTTAAACTTGTTCATCTTTTATCGCATTTTTCCTTTTGTTCAAGACTAATGACCATAGCGAAGCGATACCGTGCTGTGTATTGTTTTTTGTCGTCACTCATTAGCAATAGCGATATCGACAAGTTCCAGTAAACGAAAGACTGATTTATTCTTGTTATTAGTGAGAGCTAATAGGGCTATGTGCAATCAATGAAATGATTTGCAGACTGGGTTTTGAAGCTACGCGAATATTTCAAATCCTACTCTTAGCAACCTACTCAGCCTCTCCTACGTTATGCATTAAAAATTCAAGAAGTCCAAATTCCATAAACCCCCGCAACTTAAGCGCCATCGATACAAGCGAAGGTAAGAGTTCCTTCTTTGTTTCCTTAAAGCAAAAGTAACTTAGTGATAAACTGAACTTCAATTTGTTGACGTAGGGGCATTTTCAGCTTATTTTAATTCCCTTTGCTTGCTTGAATCGAGTGTTAACCTTATCTCGGCTTTGGGATAACCATTTTTGTTAATTCTTTTGTTTGTTTCTCTAGAGTGAATTATCACTTACACGTGTATGAAAAGTCGCAAACCTGCAATCTAATGTTTGATTTTGATTCCAATACCAATTTTCACTTCACTGCGACAAAGTCGGTAAACGTTTAGTCCAGGGATGGAGTTCATTTAAATATCCACAGTGTTCCTTCATTTTGTTTCGCAGTTAGCTAATTAGTGTCAAGCATCACTCTTAATACCTTTGTGCTGGCATCCTAACTTACAAAAGACGGTAATAATTTATACTTGTGAATTGACTGCCTCTGGATCCAGTACAAGTTTAAAATTCTTTCGATACAAATAGAACAGACCTCTGAATGCTGAAAGGAAAAATAAACATTACTAGCGATAGTCCAGCTAATCACAACAAATATTTTACTTGCTACCAATTCACTTGACGCACGCCTGTATGCAATAGTCTTACCCTTTCAAGCATTTTATACTTAAGCGCTTTCAAATTCATCCCTCATGGTAATCAGTTTACGTGGACACAACGCGACCGCACCAAATCATATTGAATCAGTATTATAAGGTACTCAACGATCGCTTTTGCTTGTACCCAAGAGTTAGTTCACAAGCCGACTAGTAGAAAACAATGTTACAGGACTTCTGCAGACGTATATGACTGAGTACTAGTCAAATTTCTACTAGTCGTCCCATATCAAAGAACATTGTCGTACATACATAAGAAACTCACTCTAAATCCAATGCTTCAGTATTGGCGATTCTTAATGCACATTGCATTATGGTACACCTGTACGATGTAGCGGTAATGAATGACCAATATATTTACAGGGAATCCTCTTAAACTTAATGTTGTGATTCATTGTTCTTTAACCCGCCTTGGCGTTAACTGTGCAACGCGAACAACCCAAAATAACGCAACATAGCACAATTTGTAAACTATGCAAGATACGCATATTGTTAACATTATTATTATCATTATTATCATTAAGAGAACTAATATCACAAAAATGCTGGAAAATTGCTGATGGTATCGAACTACATTCCGTGGTCTTGCCGGAGTGCCTTGGCCTCTCCATCTCCTCTCCGTCTCTTTTCCTCTGTTTTAGCCCATGAGTCCAGTACATTTCTTAATATCCTTTCTGACCGCAGAAGGTATACCTTCTGCATCAACTATAAGCCCCTCGCTATGTCTAGCAACTCTTTCGCTATTTTTTCAAGCCTCTAGGGGTGATTAACATACTGTTAGTTATGGTGAGTAACGCTTAAAATTCTCGCCCAAATTGAGGAGACGAGTAATTTATCACTTATGGTATTCATCGGATGTAGTCTTCATGTAAAACAAGATCATCTTCAAGATATCAAATAATGTCTTTTTCAATAAATGTTGTAAAAATTTGGAATAGTTTACATTAGAAAATGTGTCATGAGTTCTTGCGTGAGCCGGTTTTAACACCCGGTAAGTATGTAGCCTGACAGTTCTGGCTTGCGGTCCTGGTTCTACTGGCTAAGAAGTCCTTCAAGCTAATCCGTCCAGACCGACCACATGCTGACAAAGGGACAGACCACCACACCGGACTCTACTTACCCCTCGCATTATGCAGCTTAACAGCTACATTACCTTCCCAAAAGTTAGTTATTAAAATATTAGATTTCAAGGAGCGAAAAGCTGGAACTCAATTGATGGTCAGATTAAAACTGTTTCTCTTTCTCAATTTAAATCTAAAACTAAAACAACAGTTTCTTTCGATGTACGAGACTGCAAAACAGGCTTATTTTGCAGTGTGAACGATTTGGACGTTGAACTCACAGAGAGTGGAGAAAGTCAAACTCCCTTTGTTTTCCAGTTGCTTTTATGATCATAGCGATGATGATCAATGTACCTCTAGGGCGCGCTTTCGATAAAAAAAACGCCTGCTCTGTCATTGTACTACTTTTGGCAATTATCTTGTACTTCGTACCTTCCATCCTCCTTATTTCTTCGTTTTTTCCCTTACAAACGTGCTTGGGTGTCTGTGGGTGTGTCTGTCTGTATACATTCTTATATGTTGCCATGTCCTCCGCCATAAACCTATTTAAATTATGTAACTAAATTTGGATTCCCGGCCTTTTTAACCTTTTAGTTAATCTAATAACTTGTACAATAGCTTTAATATCTTGTTTGTTGTTGTTGTTGTTATGAATAGTGAATGGTTTCTTTAATGTACAAGTCTCACTCGTTCTTGGCAAGTTGGAACGTGACGTCACCTATCTAGCTTGTCGGGAGAATTCGCTGCAAGTCTCATCTGCTCATCGCAATAGCGCTATCGACAAAGTGACTTTGGCAGCCTTTTTATACCCTTCCGGCTCTGGCATCTGTTTATAATACAAAATATGGTGTGTGAGCGACAGCCTCAGCTGTGCTCAACCTTCGCATTTAGCCACTATTTTGGTTCTGTGATCTTTTTCATGTACAGTGACATTCAATTTCGGGACAATTTTAAAAGTAAATCACTAGGGTAAAAATGGCAAATTTCAGGTACAGTTAAACCATAGTTGGACTGAGCATTCAGCATAGCTCATGGTCGTTAGATGTACATGCCTGCGTTATATCGCTGCTGTGGCCTACAAGAAGCATTGTGAAAGTTTTTAGGGGCCTGGCATGGTATCTCACTGGATTTTTCTCCTGGAAACACTGGAAACAAAGAGCAGAAATCAGAATCTAGGTAGTCTAATAACTCACTTCAAGATGACACTATTTCATTGTGTCTCCCCTGATAATTAATTTGTTACTTCCAGTTACATAATTGAATGTCATGTTATATTAACGCTTTGAAACTTGATTATCTTAGGAAAAAACAGATGCCAGAGCCGGAAGGGTATAAAAACGCTGCCAAAGTCACTTTGTCGATTCCCCTGTGAGAAGGATGATGAATGTGTGAAGTATGGGTGGCTCGGTTCATGCTGTCCAGCCATACCTGGAAGCAGCTGTAAGAGGGAATGCCTGATCACTGAGGATGCAGAGTTTAACTTGACATCAAAAAGTAAACACAAGTTCTGAATACATTACGGCATAGACAGTTAATGCCAAGGATTTTTGTACTATTA